ATTAAGATGCCATGATAATTTTAAAATATTAAAATTTTATATGAAATTGTTCAAATATTCTCCATAATTTTTCCTTGAGTGTTGATTCAATAAAAATATATAAATCTTTTCATTATCATTCTTAAAGAGTGCAACAATGTCATGGTGGGCTAGCCTAACTTAAACTAGTTGCAGCACTTTCTTCGACTATTGGTGGCATAAGGTTGATCGGGACGTTGATGAAGACTTGAACTCTTTTTTGGATTAATACGATCATGGCTTTTGTGATTTATGGAGGAGACTCCAACATCCCTTTGAACTAGTGTATCTCCTTTTTGGTACGACATTTAATTAGTGGGCTTTTTTATTTGTTGAACTGCATACCCTCCCCAAAAAGCTGGCATAACAATTGAGAATGTGCAATAATTCAGGATGTTTATAACAACTTTCTTTCTACATTAATACTTAGTAGATCTGTTTATACTCTACAACGATTGTTATTATAATATCTAAGTATAGATAGTTTTCTATACTTAAATTGTTTATATTTATTATGGGATAGATTTTGTTTGTATCTAGTATTATAGAATATACTTTTGCTTTGAATACAAGGCATGATAGAGAGATTCATATATAATTTTAACTTCATTATTTTAATACGATCTTTATTTCTTATTAGAAAAAACATATTTTTAATCTTAATAGTCCAATATCCAAACTCTAGTAAGGCACTTTGCAATTAGTAGAGAATCCAACAAAAATCTACAATAATAGATGAACTTATTAACCTGTTCTCTTGATCATCCATAAAAAAAAAATTAAGTACAAAAACAAATAGACCAATACTCAAATTTTCATCAACCAAACCTCCTCCTGCTTGCTTGCGTAAATTCATGGAGGATATGTTCTGCTTCCTATCTATGGTGGGGGCTCTCTAAAAGCAACACACTGTGACATGATGGAGCAATGTGTTGATTGATATGTAAATTTGGGTTAACTCATGTAAATGAGATGGGTATCCCTCATACGCTTTGAATAAAATTGTCTTTATTTCCTACATAAAAACAAAAAGTTAATTTTATCACTCAAAAGTTTGTTGTTTACATTGCTTTAAGATACTATATGTATTGTCTCATTTTTTTTCTTTTGTCATCTTTTTAAGTAGGACACATAATTGTCTATTTTTAAAACTAGCTTTTCATTTTATCATGTAAGGTGGGTTGATTTGAAATTAGTTCAAAATCTAACCAAAAAATTGCTTTCAATCTCAATTCCATTGATAAGGGTTGTATTATATTCTTGCTATCTTTTTTTAATAATCAACCAAATCAAACCTCTTGATCATCCTTAGAATGAAAACAACTACAAGTACGGAAACAAATATACTAATATCCTAACTTTCATCACCCAAAAGTTGGCTTCTTACATTAGTTTTTATCTTTGAGATGTTGTGTATTGTTTTATTTTTTTTATTAATATATCTTAATTTTTCTCAATCTAATGTATCAATATCTAAAATTTCATCACACAAAAAATTGTGTGCATTATTTTTATCCCCAGGATGCAGCATTTGTGGTCCCATTTTCCCTTTTGCCATCTTTTTGGGTAGAACACATAATTATCTACTTTTAAACCTATGTTTCATTTTAATAGTCCAATATCCAAACTCTAGTACGGTGATTTGCAATTTGTAGCGAATCCAACAAAATTCTACAATAAGAGATAAACTTATCAATCCGTTCTCTTAATCATCCTTAGAAAAAAAAATACAAATACATAAACAAATAGACCAATGTCCAAATTTTCATCACCCAAACCTTCTCTTGTTTGATTGTGTAAATTCATGGAGGATATGGTCTGCATCCTATCTATGGTGGGGACACTCAACTGCAACGCATTGTGAAATGGACTTATGTGTTGACTCAAATGTAAATGGATTGAGTATCACTTATATTTTTTAAATAAAATTTTCCTTATTTATGGACTTAAAAAAAAAAAAGAAAAAAGAAAAAAAGCCTTTAATCACTCAAAAAATCGTTGTTTACATTACTATATCTTCAAGATGCTATTATGTATTGTCTCATTTTTTTTTTCCTTTTGTCATCTTTTTAAGTGGGACACATAATTGTTTGTTATTTCATTGTACAATTTAAACTCTTGATAACTAAGATGATTTAAAATTGGTTCAGAATCTAACAAAAATTGCTGTCAATCCCAATTCCATTGATAATGGATATATTGTTGCTATCTTTGTTTAATAATCAACCAAATCAATTCTCTTGATCATCCCTAGAATGAGAACAACTACAAGTACCGAAACAAATATACCAATATCTTAACTTTTATCATCCAAAAGTTAATTCTTTACATTATTTTTATTTTGAGAAGCTGCGCATTGTTTCACTTTTTATTAGAACATATATCTTAATTTTTCACAATCACATATATCAGTATCCAAATTTTCTTCACCCAAAAATTGTTGTATACATTTTTTTTATACCCAAGATATGGCATTTGTAGTCTTGTTAACACTAAAAAATAAAAGAAATTGTATAAAACCAAGTACTTCATTGAAAAAAGATGGATAGAGCTTATAATAAAGAGTGAATTGAGAAAAATAATAATCACTTTCCTAAGTCTAACATTAGGGTATTTATAGGATATTACATAAAGTTACCATAAGATTACAATTCTACTTGGATTGATGTTTGAGTATTCTAGTTCTAGTGAAATTTAATTTATCTAATATTAATAGAACTTTTTTAGAATATATCCACATGTCATATTTCTCATAAGACTCAATTTAGAGTATAAATCCCATTTTCTCTTTTGCCATCTTTTTATGTACAATACATAATCGTTTACCTTTAAATATATTTTTAATCTTAATAATCCAATATCTAATCTCTAGTAAGGCGATTTGCAATTGGTGGGGAAGAATGAAACAAAAATCTACAATAATTGCTTGTTTTTAAACTTGTTTTTAATCTCAAGAGGACAATAACCAAACTTTCAATAAGGCGATTTGCTTGGCGAATCCAACAAAAAATGTTCTTAATTAATCCCAGTTCCACCTACAATAATGGATATATTTTTTGCTATCTTTAGTAATCAACCAAAGATCAAAAATTGTTTTCTTGATCATCCTCATAAGAAAAAAATAATAATAAAAGTACACAATCATATTGACCAATATCCAAATTTTCATCTCCCAAAAATTTGTTGCATGCATTACTTCTATATCCTCAAGCTACTGCACGTATTATATATCTCATTTTTTACTTTTATGATCTTTTTTTGGTGAGACACCTAATTGACTATTTTTAAACTCACTTTTAATTTCAGTAACCAGATATCCCAACTCGCTTTTAATAAACAATGAGAATGACTTCACTTTAATTCTTCAAGGCCATAAATGGCTATATATGGGACTCCTCACAGTGTGGTGAGTGCACAGTGGCCTAATATATAGCAGTGTGATTGTCAAACGACTCAAACCTATCATGGGTTTTCCCTATCTTTACAACAACCTCAAAACTCTTCTTCTCCAAGGCATTAGAGAAGTGGAGACTGGTAGTGGGATTGACTGTGATTTGCACTCAATCCTTTTTGGGAGCCTTAACGGGAGCATTGTAGTTACATTTGGTGAAGGGCCAACATAAGTGACAGTTCTCCACAAAACACGTACTATTTGTTGTAGGCCTGATTTTAAGAGAGGCTGCATAGATGGGTACGTCGTTTAGACTTCAGAGCATCATAGCCATATGCAGAAAACAAAGAAGAGCAGTTTATGGCTTTTAATCCCTTGCAAGGAACTATATATAAGACATCTAATCTATGTCATAGATTAAACTAGGATTTATTGCGCGCTTTAGAGGAATTCAGTCCAGCACCATAAGTGAACTCAGCCTCATTGGTTCTGCTATTCATGCATGAAATTAGGAATTAAAATTATGATCTCTTTTTATCATAGAATTTTCTTTTAATAAAGGGAATATTATCACAGAAAACCAAAGTACAATCTATTTTACATAGATTACATTTTTTATAACCATTAATAAAGGGGGAGTCCTCTAATATTTGTAAGTCACATTTTCATCAATGATTAAAAATAGTGCTACCGTGCAGGATGGATTGTAATATAGCACTCTCATATTATAATTAAGACTCATTCCATTTATACTTGTTGTTGTGATTGTAGATTTGATAGCATCTGATGTCCAATTTGGGTGAAATGACTTCACATTTGCAGCAACGTTAGGACATCCATGTCAATTCTAAGCATGAGTTTGAACTTTGAATTCTAATGAGATGAATTTTTATATTTTAATTTATTATTCTAGTCTCGATTATTATTGAAATTTTTATAATTATTTGAATGAGTTGAATGTGGTTTTATTTGATTTTACAGGACTTTTATTTTTTATGTATAGATGGATTAAAGTCCATAAAATTAAAAAATTTGGGGCTTAAGTGCAAATCTTTCAAAACTTTAAGTACAAATTGTAAGATAAAAGTTGAAAATCAGGGACTATTTTGAATCAATTTAAATTTTGAGGATCAAAAAGCATAGACTAACATCTGATATTGCACCATTAAATAAATTGCAAAGGCTCAATTTTCCGACACGGACTTGGTGTCGACACCCTTTGGTTCATTGCACCAAAAGTCCGTGTCGAACTTGATCTAGGCATCAAGCCGACAACAGGCATCCTAAGTCTGGTGTTGCCACCTTATTTTTAGGTACCAACACCATGAGCAAAGTTCAGCCCTTTTTTTTTAAGAAAAATTTTATTTTGATATAAGACCCACTCATTTTCTACAAGGTCTTCTCAACTCTTATAAAAATTACCCATTCAACACCAAATTTGGGGATTTTTTAGGTCAAAAGAGATGGGCCAATGAAGATTTCAACAATAATAGAAAATTAAAATTTAAGATTTTATATCATCAATTAATTTATTTTTCCTTAAACTATTCTTTATATTTTCAAATACTCACTTTGAGCTAATTGAGAGTAGCTTAAAGTGTCCTCATAAAAATGGTTAAATATAAAAAAAATAAAATAAAAAAAAAGGGAAAAGAAAAAAAAAAAAGAGAAAGAACATTAAGGATCCAATTGAAAGGCGCATAGAAGGTTAGGGACAACTTGTGCAATTAGTTTATGAAAAAAGTAGAGGATTTTTCACCTGGTTTTTATTCTAAATTTTATTTTTATTAAAATATACATTTTAAATTGTTGAAAGAATTCAAAATACATAAAAATAAAACAAAATTTAAAAGTATAAAAGGGGAGACAAAAAGGTGCCAAATTAAAAGCCTTGGAAAGTGAGGCGCCAAAAGAAAAGAAAAAGGAATTTAAGGTCGAACCCATGGCTTTGACCCAATTCCTAAAGCCCACATCTGAAACCCGTAAGCCCTAATCCAGAACCTATAACCTAACCTTAAGCCTTGTCAAATCCGGCCCAAAACATCACTCCGGTAAACAAAAACCTACGATCAGCCACCAGGCCCACTCTCATTCCCTTGGGCCTCGTCTCTCCCTCGACTTATGATCCTTTCCCTCTTCTTCTCCGATTCAGGTTGCTCCCCGCCGCCATCCACATCATCTTCTCGGCAACGGCGGAATCAAAGGGGAAACACTCAACCGCCGCACAGGTCCTTCACCCGGACTCTCCCTCTGCAAAAAGAATATTTCCAGCGCACTTTCGTCCATCTTGGCCTCCGGTCACCATTTTTCCCTTCCTCTGGCTGCAGACACCCTCCGCCAGCTGTCAAACACCGTTGCTCCCTCTTTTCCTCTCCGCCGCTTACGGCTGGGGAGGGTCAGAAGTTTCTTGGCTTTCCGAAACGGAGGGAATCAGTCTCCGCAATTTGGCCGCGGAAAGGTTTGCTCATTGATTTGTTTGAGTGGTTTCTCACTGATTTTGTGTGTTTCATACTGAATAAGAGTGTATAGTGCCTTGCACAGTTCCTATTTTTGAATCTTATTTCCGGTGGCAACTGACGATCTTAAACCCCAACCCACGTTGATGATCCTCAATTGCCTATCTCGCCAAAACCAACCTCCACTTTCACTGGCCCTTACGCTCCTCAGACGCCACCTCTCCACCTCCGCCTCAAAACTCCATGACCTCTATTGTTTTAAAGCCCCACCCTCCCTCTCTCCAAACCCCCAAAGGCCTAACCCCTATGCAAAGACTCCCAAGAAAAAGCAAAAACCCCAGTATCGATCTCCGTCGTCCCTCGATAAGGTTAAGACTGTAGACTCCGACTTGCCATTTGATTTTCGGTTCAGTTACACGGAGAGTAGCCTGACGGTGAGGCCAATCGGGTTGCGGGAGCCCAGGTATTCTCCGTTTGGTCCAGGTCGGCTGGACCGGGAATGGACTGGTGTTTGTGCCCCAGTCGTAGCCTCCACCAGCTGTCACACACCGGGGCTCCCTCTTTTCCGCTCCACCGCTCACAGCAGGGGAGGGTCAGAAGCTTATTGGCTGTCTGAAACAGAGGGAATCAACCTCCGCAATAAGGCCGCGGAAAGGTTTCTCGTTGATTTCTTTCTTTGAGTGGTCTTTCACTGAGCCATGGAAGTGGGACAATGAAAATATATATTAGTAAAAATAACATGGATGACACTGAAAAATGCTTCTTCTTCTTCTTCTTCTTTTTTTCCTTCTTTAATTTTGTGGCTTAAGTCCGTGCAATTAGAATTTTTTTGATTTATTACAGTAACTTGAATGTTTAAAAAATAAAGTTTAGGGACAAAAATATATAACAAATATTAGTTTATAAAAAAAAGTATGTATAAAACTAAAATTTAAGAACTTAAAAAAAAAAGTAGCTGTAAAAATTAACAGATAAAATTAATAGAATAACAAAGAAAATATATTTTTTATAATTAAAAAATGAAAATAATATAAAAATAATTTATGAGCTAAAAGTATTTAAAATTAAAAGTTAAAGAACAAAATTTGATATTTAACCATGACAATGCATGTCATTTTTTTAATTATTATCTCTTTTTCGAATAAATTATAATCATATCTACTATATTAGGAGGATGGGGAAGGGGATCTTCAAGAGTCTAGCATTCAACACGAAATGGTGTTTTTATTAACAGTCAAATAACAGATCTCTTGGTTCAAGCAACAAATCATTTGATTTGAAGAATTGTTTTTTATTATTATCTTTAGAAAAAGAAACTGCAGAAGCAAATGGACCAATTTTCAAATTTTCATCAGACAAAAATTTAATATATACATTACAATAAAATAATAATGTGTATCAATTTTAACTTAAAAATAATGAAGCTCTAACCCTTAAATTTTCTCATTTCGTTTAATTAAATTCTATTCTATCCTATAATTTTACCCCTTCTACAAGTTTCCACTCCCTCGCTGACAGCTTTAAGGACGGAATTGAAAAAGACAAGTGCTGATTGTTCATTATCATGCAAAAAATGTCAGTCACCCTTCTGCAAGTTTTCAGCACCTTGTCGAACGGCTGTGAGGACGGAATTGAGAAAAACAAATGCTGGTTCTCTATTATCATGCAAAAAATCTCAATGCTTTATAGTTTATACTTACGGGTTGCCTAAAAAGGGTGATCGTGTTACTCCGTTGCCACTAAAAGAGAAAATTGTTAAGGAGGATGAGATTTGTCAAAGGGCAACTCTCGTCACTGTTGCCGTTGGTGAGAAATGATTACAGCTTTCAGTGAATTGCAAAAGGAGTAAAATTATGGAATAGAATTTAATTAAACTTAATGAGGTAGTTTAAGGATTGGGCCTTCAAAATTTTTTTTGAAAGTTGGAATTTATATATATTATTTTTTTATAATAATATCTTAAAGTTTAAGTTAAAATTTATATAAAAAAGAACAATTATGGCTATTAATAATAATGTTATGGTCACTAAATCTATAAAATGTTGATTCTGTTTAATTTGACTCATAAAAATAATTAATAATTATAATTATTAATTAATAACTGATAAAATAGTTAATATTTATTAATTAATAAATTAAAATCAATAAACAAATTGATGTTTATTTAAAAATCTCAAAATGTTGGTGGTCTTAACAATATTAATATTTATAATAACCACAACCATAGAAAAACTCCTTATATAATTGTAGTTTTGAGTTTTTGTTTTAGTTTCTATAAATTTTACTATTCAAAATAAAAAAAACTCATTTATTTTCATATATTTTTGCAACATATTATTATAATTATTAAAAAAATAAAAACAAAAATAATTTTATATCATGAATCAATTCATTTTAGATATTTCACCTTCTACACCTTTAATCTCCTCACTCATGCATTTAGATACTTAATATAATAGGTAGTAACTCCCTCACTTCTCCATGCATCTAATGATGATTAACTCTTATTTAGAGGTGATTACAACATCACTTTCTAATGCCATTAGACTGCTAATAAAAGCGTACCTTATAACCCTTGTATTAATAAGTGATTAATTCTTATAATCTTTCATTTAGTGAGTGTTTAATCTTTATAACTCCTACCACTCATTAACCTCTATATATAGAACTTGTACTCTTACAAATGTGGGGTTAAGAAAGAATAGAAATGTAATTTATTTTTATACTATCTCACTTTATCTCTGTAGTTTTTTCTTCTTTTAATTGTTTTTTCCTTTATTTTACAATGTTTTAATAAGTAAATATTTTTAGTTGTTAGTGTTAACTTTTGATTCTTACTTTTAGTTTTTATAAATTACAAAATTTATAAAAATCAAAAATAAAAAACTTAAAATTATAACCATACTAAAAAGTGTTTAAATTAATTATTTTT